TCCCCCTTCTCTCTTTTCCAAAAAGAAAAAAAAGGGGGGGGGGGGGGGGAGAGAGAAGAGAAAAAAAAAAAAGAGAAAGATTTCCTATCTCTGCACATTCATTGTAAAAGTTTCCAGGCACAATAAACCCTCTGGGCATGGAAAAATACAACAGTGCTTCTTCGTCAGGCTTGAGGTTGCTGGAGGATAATCAGTAAAACATGTCTTTCAAAAATCAGAGGAAAAGCATGAAAACATTTCAGAAGAAAAAAATCCCACCAAATGATGCAAAAGGACTGTATTCAGATGGCGGAAGGAGGATTGGGGAAACAGGGCACAGGACGGACATCCTTTTTCACCAGTAGACAGAGCTACTTATTTTGCAGAAAAATTTATTATAAGCAGTTTTTCTCTCTAATCAATTAGGTGCATGCATTACTGTTAGATGGAGCGAGGAGCTCTGCCTTCGAAGAACCCCAGCGATGATTCTGGAAGATCATTCACATAGTGCACATAGAAGAAAAACTCCGTACCCTGCAACTTTAAAGGTTTCCCAAACAACCACCTCAGCATCAGACTTCTTTGTGGTACATTGTAAACAACCAGAACTTCTAACCACATCAGGTATACACACAAAATACATGAATAAGGATGTAGAGTTGGTCTGGAAGGATACAGTACTATTTCCCAGGGCAGAGTTGTGCTTTTGAAAAAACTTCAAGCTTACATCCTCCCCCAAGTCACGTTGTTTGAAATCTGTGACCATTTCTGCAGATAATCTTCCATCTTTGTGAACCACAAAGAAGATCCAACAAGTTCCAAGTAAACTCAGCTGGTGAAATACTGGCTATGTTGCATTTCAAGTGGTTGATGTTAGTTGTGAATTCTTGAATTACTTATGCTCAGCTTTGTGATGTCCTCCTTGGGCCCTTCGTCCACTTTCATGGCTAATGCCTAGCAGGGAGCTAGTGAACAGCATCTAACATCTGCCTTTGAGAGAAGTACTACCATATCCCCTGTGTAGTCTCTTGGGAATTTCCTACACCCAAAGGCTAGAATGGTACTACACTACACTACAAATTACTGAGGGAAATGTGGTGCTTTGCCTAAGAAACCTTCCATGAAAACTGACAGGTTAAAGACATTCATGAGCTGACACTAGCAGCAAACTGACAAAATTCCTGAAAAGAGCCAACTGTTCTTTCATATTTCTTTTTAGCAAATACTCAAAGGACCAAATGTATTTTGATTAAGCTCTTGAAATGGGATGAGGCTTTCCAATTACTCTAAGAACTAGGGAAATTCAATAAGTACTGTGAATTGTCAACTAAAGAATTGCCTTCACCAGCAGACCAAGGATCTTTCTTGTCTTGAGGACAGCACCTATGTAATGCACAAGGAATGAACAATGGTCTAATTATCTTATAACAGCTATTTGCAACTAAACAACAAAGGTATTGAAATAGATGGATAAAGACAATCATACTTGAGACAAAGCATTGTGATACAGCTCAGAAGAGCTTATGTCAACACTCATTGGGTAAAACTCTTTTCAGGGTAATGAGAATGAACAGGTTCAAAACGCTAAGAATAGCTCCAGGTTTTTTCCTCCCGTGAAGAACTGGAGCCAGAATCAACTTCTCCCTCCTGATGGGAAACAGACTGTTCTCAGGTAAACACGGTAACTGCAGGTTCCTCTCCCCTTGCACATTGGATTGACACCTCCTCCCTCCCAAAAAAGGATAAAAAGCACTGCAGTCATGACAATGACCAGCCACCAGCATGATTACAGCCTGAAGTTAAATGCAATCAGTATACTGTGACAGAGGCAAACCCAAAACATTTTCCCATTCATCACTGCATTAATAGAACCTTTTACCATCTACAGTTAAGTATTATGAAGAATATCACAGAGGAAGAATCTTTCCAGGTCAGTAAAAGTCTTCACTGTGGAAAAATAAGTCACAGGCGAGGAAACAAGTATTCTCTCACCCACATGATCACATTATTTCTGGAAAGCACTAAGAGTCAATTCCCTAGGAGAGAAAGGCATTTCAGAGAATGTAAATCCACCTAGCAGAAATAAAAATGGATGTTAACTTTGTTTCTTTTGTCCAGGTGAAAGGCAATCTGAAGAACCTTAAAATGGTAAAGCTCAGAAAACAGCACATCTCAGCAGCTGCACTGGTGAATAACTGATTTACCTTTGTCACCTAAAAGAAAAAGTGCAGCCTTTTAGCCACAAAGACAAATCTTAGGAAAGTTGGAGAAGTGAAGAAAAACCATTCCAAGCTGAAGATAATGATAAATTTAAATAAGAGGCAGCCTGTCTTCACTGCAGTGTTAACTCAAATATTGCCTCAGCCCGTGCACACAGGCAAGAGTCTTCTGCTTAAATTAGGTAGTACTTCAACTCTGGGCTTGCTGGCCCAGCAGCACAGTTCAAACACCAGTGATTCTTCCACTGCCAACGCAGCAAGGCATTAGTTAATGCACATTGCTAACCTCGTCACCGCTGCTGCTTGACTGCTGTTCAGCAGTAAGAACATAAAAAAGGGAGGAAAAAAAACCAACCCACAAATAAAGAGTTGCACTGAGTCTGACTGTAGACGATCTACCCAGTCTCTTGCCTCTTAGCAGTGGCCAAGATAACAGTCTTACAATAGGGCAGGCATGGAGGGAGCAGTGCTTCTCCAGAACACTCCCTCAGCTGCCAGTAACAGCAGCTCGGAGATTTCCTGAGCCAAAGGTGGTGTCTTTGTACTTAATAATCCTCTGTAGATTTTTTCGTCAGTGCAACAAAACAAACTGAGTAAGCCTTAAGTGGAAAGATAACTTAAGGAATTCAAAAGCCACAAGAAGAAATAAAGGTAAAGGACTAGCAGGCAGAGTTAGAAACTCGACTGTCCCTGGCAAGAAGAAAAAAAAGAAAACCCTCGCACAGAACTTCAGTCCAAGTTCTACATTATCCAGTACCCTTCAAAATCAAGAGTTTCTCATCAGTTTTTCTTTTTCAGTTCATGTAATCACAAGGTAAGAAACCTAGAGGCAGAGCTATTACTCAGAAGCTCAAACATATCAGCTAGGAGAAGAATGCAGATTCTCCTACACTGGCAAGAGCCAAAAACGCTGTTTTTTCATTAAAATATTTCAGAAGGAGAATAATTCTTTTGCAAACGTAAATATTTAAGGTGAATCTAACTTAGTTGGCAAGTCATTATGCTTTGGTTGGACTTTATTACAGTATTGACCATTCTGACAATACATAAAAGAAAACTAGTTTTTACTTCGCACTTTTTCTCCACTCTGTTTTCCAGACCTACAGAGTTTAACAAAACACAGCAGTGATTTCAGACAACCATGCTACGCTGATAAACATGTAACAGGGCACTGCTCTTCTCCAATTTAAGATGAAGCTTTCTTGATTTCTTCTGAACATTATACTTTTCAATAAACAGACTGAGAAATATATGTTTTTAAGTATTTATTTTTCGTCAAACACCAGTGTCACTCTTAATGCTTTCCAGACACTCCCTAACAGTAGAGAGTATAAGAGATCAGGAAACACAAAACCAGTCCTGACTTCAACTGCTAGAAATGCAGGTGCCATGAAGCTCCTACCAAGCTGCTGCATTTATGTGAAGCTGTATTCTGTGTGCCACTGTCCTGACTATCACATCCTAACAGACCTTAAGACATCCTCTGTTCTCTCCAGCTATAGGAAGGGGAAAAAGCAGCCGTCCTTTCATCACTTTCTATAATTATTGACCAAACAGATTGTGTTAATAGTGTAGCAAGGTAGGGAAAAAAAAACAAGGGAAAAAAAACACCCAGGCTGTACCACCATCAGGGAACAATTTTACTATCTACTTCTCCTCCCACCACTGGGGTAGGATTTCCAAAGCCACAATAATTTGTATTGACAGGATCCCTGTCAATTCAAGACAGTATTAGTTAACAATACTAATTTCCATCTAGTTCTTCTTGAAAAAGATACCAGCAACAATAAAAACATCACTGCTAGCTTCATTCACAGTAGCAGAACAACTTCAGTAAGCAAATTAACATTTTTTAAAATCAAAGAACCAATCTTTTTCAATATACAACTCCCAAATAGTGGACGGCTTGACACCTGCATCAGATGATCATTTTTACTCTTTATCACATCGTAATAGATTTCAAGATCCTAACATTGACTAGTTCTTAATAACTCCAGAATAAAATGAAAATTATTTTCATACTGGCCAAAAATATCATTTACAGCACTGCTATCACTATTTTATTTACAGCACCATCTGAGTATTGAATAATTAGCAGTACTAATGTAATGCAAAGTGATAGAGTGCAGTACAAAATCTACAGTCTCGTAAAGTAACGGTTCCTTAAACGCTGTCATTGGAAGTTCTTATTTTCTGTCTGGCCTCTGCCAAACCTAGCTCACACAGGCAGCCCTGCTGATTTCAGTAGGACTATCTGTTGAGTGAGGTTACTCACACAAGAAGGAATCTGCAGGTCTAGACCCTTCCATCTTGATTTATAAGCATGAAGCACATGAGTCTAGCAGGAATTTAACACTTACGCTTCCACAGTTGTTCTTACAGTCTGTTCCTCACCATCTTCATCTGAGCTGCTACATGTTGCATCAGAGTCCAGATCCTTCTCCACGCGAGACAGCAGCCCTCCAGTAGAAAGTGCAAAGCCCCGGATTTCACCTGGTGCAACGCTAACTCCATTCTGTACATCCGTACTCGAACTACTCTCCAAAGTACTGGCATTGTTGTCTGACCAACCTTCAGTGCACCTGAGGGAGCTACTGCTCAAAAATCTGGTTGGCTCATGGAAAACCTTCATTCTTTGTAGCTGATGTTTCACGAAGCACTTCAGCTGCTGATCACAGTGTTTGATAACATGCTTTGCCAGGAGCATTTGTAAACGTTTCTGAGTTCTTTTGGCACGACTGATTTCCATTTGTTGCTTAGTGACACACTGGAGTAAGCGAGCATACACCTCCTCCGGGGTACAGCTCAAAATCCCTTCTGAAGGCCCGTGAAGAATTTGGTGTAATAAATCCCCTTTTATTGTTTCAGTGCAGACTTCCAAAGCCCTACCCAAAAAACCATTCTTCTTGTACCATTTCCCATTTAAAAGCTGCAATTCTTCTGTGTTACTGGATTCAGTTATATTTGAATCCGAAAGTCTCTGCGTTTTTGCCAAATTCGGAGATGTGGTCTCTGAAAATGTTTCCCCTTTGACCTGTTCCTCAGGTTCTGAACGACTAATCTGACCAAATGATGTGTCAGCACCATTATGTAATGCATTTCTCATCTTGGAGCAGTCGGGCTCTCCCACTTTCATTTGCTTACCAGTTTTGTTGCTAAACGCAGAATTTTTACTCATTAACAAGACAGACTGATAGCGCTTGGACGATGGTGGAGAACCAAAATGCTGCACACTGAAGATATCATTCCTGAGGTTGGGCTCAGCAGTGGGGAACCCCAGGACTGAGCAAGTAATCTGTGCGATGGAGTCCTCTTTTATCTTCTCTTCCACTGCTCTGGAATTTTCCATGCACAAAGCTGTATCAGACTCCATAGCTCTAGAGGACAAAGAAGGTGACAAGTGGATACCATGACCTTTTGTTGCTGCCTCTCTGAGGGCTGGTGTCATTATAGCTACGGTAGGTAGTTTACAGCAAACCTGAAAATAACATGGGCCGTGTAAATTTTCTCATTTTCATGACAAGGTACAAATACAACAACTGTCAGATATTTCATTCTTTCAACATTTCAACATTATTCAAAGATTCCATAAAAAAAAGACATTATCTAAAGAACACAGATAGACTACACTCCCTCCCAAGTCAAACAGGAACACTCTGTTTTTTCTTTATTTCATTGAGAGGTTGTTCCACGTGCAATAAAAGCCTTTACTTCTCAGGGGAGTAAGTGTTCATACCTCATTGCATTTCTGATCCTATCAGCCTGAGAAATAAGACTCACAAAGTTCAAGACTGTCATCTAACCTTGCCCGAACTGAAAAACATGACCATAAGCCATGTGACTGGAAGGATGCATTTTAAAATATTTGTGCAAGTGCATGTATATGCACACACACAGAAATGTACATCTATACACACAGAGATGTACATCTAGACATTCCCACCCCAGAACTCTGGCTGGATTTTATTTTAATCTGCTCTAGAGATAAGTTAGTTTTGAGTTGTATTTGGTTTTCGTTCAAGTATTTTTTTCTATACTTAAATGAGTCAACATCAACAGTATCACAGAAATGGGAGCTATGCAGCTACCTATTACAAGTTGAGCAAAGCAGAACACCTACCACATGATGAAACATTCTGAAATAAACTCAGAGGCACTATTGGGAGAAATAGATTTAATGTAAATCTTATAAAGCAAGCATTTGATTAATTAATTTATTACATATTCTCACAAATACATTGTAGAAACCAATCATCAAGGCTAATGCTTTAAAAACAGAGAACTGTAAGTTCTAAATGTTTCCTAAAAAAACCAAAACAAAAAAATCTTTTCTGTGCCTTTGTATCCAGTTCGTCTTTATTCATCAGGCACTGCCTGCCTAATACAAACACAATATTCTTTGATAACAATTTGAGTAAAGGCAGTTTTCCTTTACAAATCCTTTTGCCTGTCGCTTGCCATAGCTTAGACGAAGGGTTCCCAAACTTTGCGATCAAGAGACCAGTGCCAACGTTCACCTCTTCTTGTCAGCAGCTATGCTGCCATGTCATAGTGTATCTATTCCACAGCCTACAGAGCAGGAATCACTGCCTTACACTGTACTTTCAGCTTTGTTTAGGAGATGGTTAAATAAACCCAGCAAAAGATTTAATTGAACATAGCCTGCAGAAGCCTGAAAGATAAGCTAGTCAGTTCTTCATATAAGAAGCTAGAGACAAAACCAGAAACAATGAGAGTAGTAACAAAAGTGAGTGTAGCACAGTACTTCCACAGTAAATTCTCTGTTTAACTGGTGTGCTAGTTGAGCAGCATTTCCATTGCCCTCCTTTTAATGTCTTCAGTTTCTTTGATCTCCACAGCAACTGCCTAGCTCAGCAATTTTCAATGCACAGATCCCATAAGGGGTCAATGATTCCGAGACTGCCACGTATGGATCTTAAGAAAAGCAAATTCCCTGTCTGAAGCCTTAGCTTGTTTGTAACTACAGGTTTTACACTGAAGGTGCAAACATTAAAGGGAGATATGGAAATCTAAGGAGTCGAGAAGTACCAGTCTGGATACTTTCTCCTTAACCCTCAAAACATGAAGAAAAACAAAGAGCCACATGTTCCAGGACTGCCTTAACACCCTCCATATGCTTTATTCACTTTTCATTGCCCCACGTACACTTCAACCATGAAGTTTTCACCCAGCATCACAGGGACCATGTTTGGTGGTCCTAATGCTAATCCTGAATGATACTATTAAAATCCCCGGTATTTTAACCTTTATCAACAAGCCAATAACTTCAGACTATAAAGGAATTCAGCACAAAGTCCTCCCCTGTGGACAGTCATTCAGTAAGAGCCCCATTACCAGGATGGGACAGGGCAATGCACTGATGAGAGCTGGAGCCCCGAATCACAAAGGCTCTGGAGACTCAGCAATGCTCTCAGCACCTGGCTGACTCGTGGCTTTACATCTTCCCGCTCTTGTAAGAGCTAGCGGGGACAAGGATTTTTAAATCCAAAGGAGTACAGATTCAGACACCTATGCCTCCCCCCGCCCCCCCCACAGCATATGGCAAATAACTATAATAAGTCAAAGTGATTTAGCATGGCTAAAACATAAGGGGGAGAGAACCAAAGCCCACGCTTGTCTGTGGGGTTACTATGAACTCAAGGAAGTCCCCATATTAGATCTGTCCCTGGGAACTCCAAGAAGCTCTCTCAGAAGAACGCTGTCAGCCTGATACCTACATACACTGGGCAATGAGTTGACAGCTGTTTCAACTTTACCATCTACCTTCCTTAGCCTGAGTGGTTTAACAGCCATAGATTGCTACTCCTGAAAGACAGGAAACGTCCACACACAGCAGAGCTGCTGCTCAAGCAAACAAGAAGTTTGGAGACGTGTATCTCATACCTATACAAAGATTGAGGCTATTCAAGAACTGTGAGCACAAAATTTTCCAAGCACTGTGTTTTAACTTGATAATATTCCCTCAAATACTACATACCCTTCTGGTACAGTTTCAAATTTCCTAAATTGCAATGAATACCATTAGCAAATTATTTTAAGGGGTTGTTTTTTTTTTTTTTTGAGTTTGGGGAACTTTTTTCCCCCCTCTTTTAGGGGAAAGAGGGGAAGAAATCAAAGCAGCCTCAAACTGAACCACAACCATTAAACTAAAGACCACCGACAAACCACTAACTACTTAGGAGTTCCTGACAGAAGATGCTTAAGTTACAATATAGCTAAAAAAAATAAATAAAATGCTTTTTAAGAGAGAAATCACTCAATTAACCCCTTACCCAGCAACTTGCAAACTTCACACGATGTTTCTGCCCTGAAGACAGTCGTGTGAGACACTTCAGGTGTGTACCTCTCATTTCAGCGACTTTATAAAGCTGGTACTGTCCCAGTCTCCAGTCCTTGACATTTCTCCAAGAAGTTCACACACACACAAAAAGTCATTGGTATATGAGCAAAACAAAATATCAGCTGCAAAAAAACTAAAACCAAATTTTAGTACAAGTACTTGGCTCAACGAGAATTGAACAATTTTCATTTTGACACATTTTACTTCATTTTGGCAGAAAGAGGCAAAAATAATTTCACTCCACCCTTATTGGAAGTGAGTTTCTAGAGCCAAGTCTATTATCTTCTGGGGGGGAAAAAGTGCAGAGGGAGGGAAGACAAGTACTGCAACATGGTATTCAGGAAGAGTCTGTATTTTCTTTCTGGGAAAAGCTTTTTTGTCCTAGGTAAACCATTTCAAGGATTTTTTCCGTTGTGTACTACTTGAGGTTTTGAAACCAGAACAGCTGAAATGCTACTAAGCTGGCAAACAGTTTGCTTTTCATGTGCTGAATACGCACTCCACTTGAAAGACTAAAAAGTATTGCAAAAAGAAAAGCTGACGTAGAATAAGTACCAGGGAAGGGAAGAAACAAGTACCAGACATGCACAGTACAGCAACTGATATTTAAAGTGACTTTATGCTTATCCTCCCCTAATGCCTTAATTACCCAGGAGGATACAGCCGGGAACTGCAGTTTACCACAGCCCAAGCGCTCCCCCGACCTGCACCCTGCTGCCTCCTCTCCCCACAGCTATGGGTCCCTAATCCCCCAACGACCCCTGCTCCTCTACAGCTCCTCTCCCCGCTGCTGCCTCTGCTTATTTCTTAGTCCTTACTCAACATTTCCGTGTTATACCCTTCTCTACCAGGCTTACCTCAATCGAATTTGTCTAAATCCTGAAACTAGTGTCTTCATGTTGGTAATTAGCAGCACCCTATTAAAATAAACACAACAAAACCCAATCACAAACCTGCCTGCACACAGGATGGCATTCCCTTCCCAGCTTTTGTTCATAGTCCTTTCACTTTTTGCCTCTTTCCCCCGCCTTGCATAAGACTATCACTTTTGTTACACAACACTGCAGACAATGTTTTGGGGGATTTTTGCTTGGGAGGAGGATTGCTTTGTCTTTTAGTGGGTTTTTTGTTTGTGATCTTTTCGTTTTCAATGACAATAAAGCTCCATTTGCACAAGGGTTTGTAAGGCTCCTCTGTACCAGCCTTCTCTCCTTGTAAATTGAGTTGTCTTTTGTCATCCCAAACACCTGAAACTTTCTTGTTAATAATGAGAGTCCTGGAGACCAGGAGAAGATTTTTACTTTTTTTTTTTTTTTTTTTTGCTTTTAAATTCAGGGGCCTACAAATAACAGTTCAAATTAATACAGCTGTTTCCAGTTTCTTCACAGATTAACAGTGTTTCAGATAAGCAAACTTCCAATGTTTATTCCTTGTCTAGAAGGCATTTCAAAAGCAAAGTGAAGTCCCGAGCAGCAGACAGCATCTGGTGAAACACCCAAAATTAAGTTCAACAAGAATGTTCAAAAACAGTCTTTCACACTGACAAGAGCTGCTTTAAGGCCTCTTAAGAGAAAACCTGCAGAAGAGATGGCAGCTACATGAGCAACCTTGATCTGCCTACAACACAACTGACAAAACCTGGTTTCCTACAGCTTTGTGTTGTTTGCCCCGTAATCCCTAGCTCCTCTTGGACAGCCTTCCTGATAATCGCCGGACAAAAATAAAGCAGTGCTCTGGCAGACAGGCACTACTGCAGCACTGCCTTAGCTGTGCTGCCAGGACCGAGAGCCACTGCCAAGCTGAGCGTGCAAGAGCTGATTTTGGCCAGCTTCTCCAAGCCTTGCCTGGTGGGAGGCATCCACTTGGGTATACTTTACCTACCTCTCCCAATTTTCACAAAACTTACAGGATCATAATAATTTCTAAGAATAAAGAGAACAGCTCAATAGCATAATCTGCATTTTCTCACAGAACAGTCTGCAGCAAGGACTGCAAAAGAGATATTGGTCCCGCTGGGTATGTCCTGGTTAGGAGTGTGAAAGAAAAAGGGAAGACGACCATATTTAAAACACCCAGGACTAGCCTTTAAGAAAAAAAAAAATCATCTCAGT